ATGACATTAATCATTTCAAGGCCATTTCATAAAAAATTAACTTGTTAAGTGCAATAGAACACCGAATTATAGAAGTGTACAGCTTCCCTGACAGTGCTAACATTAACTGTAACCGTTTTTTAAAACCACAAAGACGCACAAAACAAGACGCCTACTGCTTCTGCAAACGCAACCATTTATTAAGACAACAGCAGCACACGCTAGCATCATTAAAATGTAGCGCGTTTCAGTCGGTCGGCTTTAAAATGGTTCCAGTTAATCCCAAAGTATCTGACTTTTCCCCTAACTTAGCCCGCCTAGCCTAGGTTTTAGCTCTGTGGGTTGAAGCATCAGACCAGGCCTATATACTGTTTGGTAACAAATAATAAATACATAGCATGAATAAATAACATCATTCATTTGTAACGTTGAAACAGTTAAATGGATTAATTCATTTAGTATGCATGTGCTGTGGTGTAGTAGCCTACATTTTGTGACAGCTAATTTAGCCTAATTTTCTGTTTTGATTTTGCCATTTTAGAAATTGAAAGCAAAGACAGCCTCTTGCACTTTATTTTGTACAATGAAATTATTCTGTTTATTTTTTTTTTTCTTTTGGAGCCAAATTCTGTATTGTTTGGATATGACAATACAGCAGAGTTTGAATGTGATAAAATAAAAAAGAGTAAGCTCTTCAGCTTAAATTTCATATTCAACTGGTTGAGGAGTCATTCTTTTAATTTACTTAAGGACATTATATTGTGACTGACTGGAAATCAGGGTGACATTCATGGGATGAAAATTTAGGGAGTGGGGTAAAACGTGCCTGTAAAAGGAGCTGCATCAACAGGAAGCACAGATGGTGGGCGTGACAGAAATAATCGTGACTAGTCAGTTAATCGAAAAAATAATGGACAGATTAGTCGACTACTAAAATAATCGTTAGTTGCAGCCTTACTTGAGACCATACACATCCCTATACAAGTTTGTTTTACAACATGTAGACAACTAATACTGGAACATCTATAATATTTTAAGCTATCGCTTCGTTACATGAATTCATCTTCCATCAGAAAAAAATAATAAGCGAAGAACCCTGTAGATAGGAAAGCATATGATTGAAACCTTTTCCCTAACAACAAAAAGGAGTTTTGAAAAGAAGAGTAGAAAATAGAAGTCATGGTGTCCTTCTGTCTCATGTACTCCGAGAGTTGACGTGATTTGGCAAGTCATGACCTTGGGGTGATGTTGAGGACAGCTATCAGTTTTCCTGCTGCTGCATATATCAGCCTGACAGTCTCTTATCTGCCATGAGCCTCAGCTTTCACACCTCTGCAACAGCAGAACAAGTTGGGGTCATGACAGGCCAACAAAAGGCACTTCGAGAAACCCTGAGGACAGGGTTTTCAGGTGCAGGGTGTTTCCAAAATGTGATACATCTATATTGAAGAACACTTCTGTGTTACTCAGTGTATGATTCCAAACCTGGAGATATCATAGTATTCAATGAAGAATCGAGAGAGGAAATGTAGTTATACCCACATCATATAGGTTCAAGGCTGTAAGAAAAAACACCATCAGTGAAAAAAGAAATGTTGACTGTTTATTGACCGACAACATTATAGTCCGTCTTTTTTGAACAATGAAAACCACAAAAATAGTTATACGTCATGCACCACAGTAGGTCTCCAAGCAATGATGCATGTAAGAGGGAGTTCCATGGTAATTCAGTACTGTAGTAACTTGTTCTTTTTGTAGAACAAGTGCAAGATCCTTGTTTCATTTCTGTCTCATATGTGGGAGAGTTTTGTAACATTTAGCAGGGACCAAGAACAGACTAGGAACAGATTAAAGCTTCAATTTGTAACTTTCTTTACATTGAAAACAAACACAACTGAGAATCAGGTGCAAGTCTAATTAAATAATCAACTGTGTATTGTGAATAGAAACATGCTAAATATGTAATACTGCTGTTGTCAGCGGACACATGTAATGTAATTGACAACACATGACAAATGAGTTAAATATGATGTAGAATAATATTAACTTAATAGAATTTATCTTGCAGCAACTGTTTAACTACTACAACAAACAAATTGACATACAAGCAAACAGGTCTCACTAAGTTGCTTTAAAATCTTCTTTACTGTTTTGCAGTATTGATGCCTTCAACTTTCGTCTGTGATAGTACGTTCTTTGAAGTGTTGCAAGGCTTTATGGCAGCAAATCTGACTTTAACTTGCCTCTTATAGTAGATTATGAGATATCTCAGGAATACTGTATACACAGTGCAGAGACTGGGTATCTAACCAGTGCATGTATGGTGTGAGAAATAGTGTTTACAATAATGTAGAGCCCTGGTGAAATACCACATGACGGTGAAAAGTCCAGTGAAGTCAGGTTGTTTTCTCAACAGCTTTCATTGGCCATCATATATGTTTACTCTGAGTGTGTACCTCAATGTTTGTCCACGTATGAGTGTGTGTGTTTGAATGTGTCTGGGTGCGTGCGCGGTGGGGGCGCAGCCTCGTATGTTTGGAGTGAGTGCCGTCAGTTAGCTGGAATGTGGCACTACCGCCAATGCTAAGATGGCTGCCAAGCTCTAAGATGGCTGCCAGGATTACACCCAGCCAGTGAGAGACACAGAAGAGCAAGAGATTCTGCATGAAGAGAGGGGGAAAAGAAGCTCTCGTTCATTTCTGTGCTCTTTCTTTCTTTCGTTTTCGCTCTTGTCTGTCTTGCCCCTCTCTCTGTGGATAAGCAGTGCTTCGTAGGCAGCGAGACAGGTCTGTTATTGTTTCTGCTCAGTAATCTGTGGCTTAGTGTGACTGCAAGGCAAGTGCTGCTGGCAGAAGTCTGTGTGCTCTGATATCACCTACAGCCTGCAGATAAACACCTACTTTAACTAGCTTGCTAGCTCACAACAGCCGAACTAGGCCTGAATGGACAGCCAATAGCATTGGACTCCCACACCACACCTGTCCAGGAAATGGAGCTCGGTCTCATTTACAAAGCCCATCGTTGCAGTCAAGAGGAGCGCGGGAAGAAATGCATACCACCACCCAGCTGGTGTTACATATCCATAAACATATGCATACATACAAGATATTTATTCTAACAGCCTTGACAAGAATGCACTCTTGTTAGGCCTTGTTTTCTCAGAACTTATGCTACAAAACCTCATTTTGGAACCTCCTATTTCAGCCTGTTGCTCCTTCAAGTCTAATTGTACCCCTGTGTTGCCAATACTTGGCAAGTTTGTGTCTGCTCATGTGAGTGAAGTCCCAGTGCTTTCGCAGACCAGTCATAACAGGTGTGTGGTTGTGCAAATGTGTGTGTTTTTCCTGGCTATCCTTCGATCCCAAAGGGAAGAGCTTTGCCTCAACTTTACCATGCTCTGCCTTAAATCCCTCAGGGCCACCAAACTGGCATGGACAGCCTTTTCATTCAAACTGTGTTTGTGTGTGTATGTGTGTATTTATGTATGTTCATGCAAGGATTACAGCATGCATTAAAGTATGAAACAAAAATTAGGGAAAGAAATGTACTGAGAGAGAGAGGGAGAGAGAGAGAGAGAGAGAGAGAGAGTGTGTATAAGGTGTTCTGTTTACTCAGAGTAAATCCCTACCAGCAAGAAAGTATTAAATAGGATTAGGGTGAGGGATATGATTGCGTGGTTAGATACTAAATGGCATAGCAGCACACTGTAAATCATTGCACCTTAAGTCTGTAGGGACAGAGGGAGATGGGAGAGAACATTCTTAGATACAAGACTGTCACACAAAAATGTGTGAATTCACACACACATTCACAAGATGTGTACCATACACCAGCACATACTGCAGGTTCCTCTTATTCCCGCTCACACCTCAAATATCACAGTCTTGGCAACGTGGATACACACAGACGGGTGACAAATTAAAATGAAAAACCTAAATAAATGACTAATGCAGATGCTTCCATACAGGTGAACTGAATGGTACATGCTTTTTGGCATGTATAACAGTGCAGAGCAGGTCCACTTGAATCTCATTTGGTATCCAAATAGCCAGAGGAAAAGATCTAAAAGACTTTGAAAGTGGGTTTATTGTTGGGGCACAGATGGCAGGAGCTTCAGTCACAACGAACTGCCCAGTGTTTTTATTCGAACAGCGGCGTATGCATTCAGATCTATGGAAAAGACAGCAGATTGAAACTGTGGTCAACAGTGCATATTTGATCATTGTGATGCTCCTGTGTTAGTGCGATGTGTAAAGAAAAGCAAAAGAGCAGCTCTTTCTCGGGTGACTGAGAATGTCAAAGCAGGACGTGTTCCGACTGTCAGCAAAAACAATTAATTGACACATTACATAGGGAGAGATGCTGATAATGCTGTAGATGTGTAGTCTTTTCCCACATTCTTGACAAGTGGGTGAGGGCATGTGTGGTGTACACCAAGAGAGTGGTATATGATTGAATGCTTGACCGCTACAGTGAGGGGATTTGATGCATTTTGCTGGCATGTTTTGGGTTCACTGGTCTTCTTAGAGGGAAGACTCACCGCACATCACTCCAAAGCTGTTCTGAGTTGTCACCTTTATCCTGATGTAACATTTCTGTCCTGAAGAGTTGTCGCTTCCACAATGATAATGCCCCTATTCATAATTCTCGAAGGGTCTCTGAATGGTTTGATGTGTTTAAAAATGATAGTAATCATATGCTGTGGCCTTTGCAGTCACCAGATCTCCATCCAATCTGACATGTGCTCTCCACCACCATCATCTAATCACCCAATGAGGGAATATTTAGAAGAACTGTGGTCATTCCCTCCAGTAGAGAACCACAGATGTGTAGAATTCAAACTGTTGTGGTGGCACTTTGTGGCTCAGACCCTCACAAAGACATCTGTAGCTATGATTCTTTGATTTGTTGTACACAGTTCTGTATGTTTTTTATTAGTTTGTTAATCATGCAAACTAGATCCTAACAATTTGTCTTTCTCCTTTCTCTTTTCTGTCTTTCTTGTTTCTGTTTCCATTTAGAATCTGGACAATCAGACAGCTCCAGCCAACAGGGGGAAACAGACATCAAGCCGCCTCCCAATGGTAGGTACACACACACACACACACACACACACACACACACACACACACA